AGAAAGACAGGAAGAAAGGAAGAGAGTAACTGTGACAAATATATTTCATGCATACTCACAGCATGAACAGATACACATCACAGTACAAAAAGAATAAACTGAATGCAGCCTTACCCTCCCCCCCTCTCTCTCTCTCTCTCTCTCTCTCTCTCTCTCTCTTTCTCTCTCTCTCTCTATCTCTCTCTCTATCTATCTATCTATCTATCTATCTGTCTATCTATCTATCTATCTATCTGTCTGTCTTTCTATCAATTTATGGATCTCTCTCTCTCCCCCTGTTTCTCTCCTTGTTTGTGTCTCTGTTAAAATCTCCCTCGCTCTCTTTCTTCTTTACTCACTTTCATTTATTCTTTATTATAAATACATGCATTTTCACTCATTCACCCACTCACCACTCATCCACTCATTAATTCACCCCTCACTCACTCACCCACTCACTCACCAACTCACTCACCCATTCACCCACTCACCCATTCACCCTCTCACCCACTCACTTATTCACTCACTCACTCTTTTTTTAATCTATTCATTTATTCATTTGTTTATATTTCATAGATTCACTAATGTGTTGGGGATGCTGACAAACCTGGTGAGTGTGATCTGGAAAGTCTCATAACCTGCTATGAAGGAAGCGAGGCGAGTGAGAGACTGTTTGCCGGAGCCGCCCACACCCACCAGCAGGGCTGCGCCTCTCGGGGTCCGGATCACACGAGACACCTGGACAAATGCAGACATACTGTTATGCCCTCACTTCACTGGGCAACACATCAGGTTATGTCACCACAACGGACAATACATCAAGTTATGTTACTTCGCTAGGCAATGCACAAACATAATAATAATAATATACACAATAGGACAGACAGACTGACCCCAAATTCTGCAGGCAAAGGAGAGGTATGCAGACCTCCACCCCCCTCCCCCCAATCCCTAAAGCACAACAGCCTACCTTCATTAAGTGAATCATCGCGTCCTTGAAGAAGACAAGGTCAAGGTGAGCCCCTCGGATCTGCTCGTTGTAGTCCTTCATGTAACTCTTGAGCCGGGTCTCCAGAACTGAGTAGTCCTCCACCTACCAGGAATACACATAGTACATTATATAACCCAGACATTAATCCTTTTTAAGGGTGTGGGGGAGAAAGGGGGGGGGGGGGAAAAAGAGGGTGGGGGGAGAAAGGGGGGGGGGGCAAAGAATGACCATTGTGCCGCCATCCACAAGAAAAAGACCCAGTCCTCACTTTACAGTCACACATAGTTCATTTATACATCGCATATCCTCTCTCTACAGCATGCTCTATGCGCTTTACACCTATTAATACCACACCAGCAGACCCAAGAACACAGAAGCATTCTCGGCTTCCCTGGAAGCATCTACTGCTAGAAGCCGAGTGAGTGCTCAAACATTAACAAACTGACGAGATCTTTCGCTGTCTACAGACAACCAATCAATTAACTCGCCATTTCGTAAATCTTTGGAGACCACTTGCTACACCAGAATTACAAAATTTTATCTGCTCAATATCTAGTTTGGAAATATTTGGAATTTCACATGTCAAACTTTAAAAAATGCAATTCTGTGAATATCTCGATAACGACTCCGAATAATCTTACAATTTTGATAGAGCAAATGGAGCATTGATTTCTGACCTCAAAACGACCCAAAATGTGAGACAGAACTTTGTAATTCTAAGGTAGCAAATTGGCACGCTATTTCATAAATCTTGGGGATGTTAGTGTGCATGCGGGGTG